TTGTAAATGCTGCAGTGAGGAGGCGGTTGTAGGCAGTGGAGATGTCCTGTCTAAGGGCAATGTGTGGTGTAAATATTATGAAGAAAATTTGGAGTGTGGAAATTAGAAGGTGTGGAGTTAATAAAAGTATTAGTCAGAGGGCTGAAGAGGGGTTGAGGTGGTTTGGTCATTTAGAGAGAATGGATCAAAGTAGAATGACATGGAGAGCGTATAAATCTGTAAGGGAAGGAAGGCGGGGTAGGGGTCGTCCTCGAAAAGGTTGGAGGGAGGGGGTAAAGGAAGTTTTGTGGGCTTCCAGCAAGCATGCATGAGTGTGTTAGATAGTGAATGGAGACTAATGGTATTTGGAACCTGATGAGCTGTTGGAGTGTGAGCAAGGTAATATTTAGTGAAAGGATTTAGGGAAACTGGTAATTTTTATATAATTCAGGTGCTATTTTTTAGCTTAAGACTATTTACTTTGTTTTATACTTAATTCTAACTATAGATTCACTACAAATCTTATGATTACAAGCATTGATCCTGATACCAACCTCTTATTTAATGACTTAAATGAATCAAACAGTTACTGTAATTACTACACTGCAGAACAATCAAAGGCACTTCTCAGTGCCAACAACAACATAACTATCTTTAACTACAATATCAGATCTTTAAGCAAGCATTACGATGACCTCATAGCATTACTAAATTCCTTACATGCCAATATGTCCATCATTACACTAACTGAAACCTGGCTAAAGCCTGATAGTACAGATGTCTATGCCATTCCTGGTTACACAGCCATACACAACTGTAGGCCAGACCAACAAGGGGGTGGCACAGCTATATACTACTCAGACCAACTAGAATGTATCACTAATACTTGCACAAGGGATGAACATGGGGAATATATAATAGCTAAATTCAAATCCAGATACCTACACAAACCTCTCACATTGATAAACATCTACAGAGCTCCACAGTCAAACATTAGCCAATTTAGTCAAAACCTAGGAAGTATGATAACTGATGCACGCATGAACAAAGATCACTTACTACTCTCAGGTGACTTCAATATAAATCTCCTGCAAGACCAGGACCCACACGTTACTGAATTCACAAACACAATGAGTAACTGCATGTTGCTACCAACAGTAACAAAACCTACAAGAGTTACAGAGACTAGTGTTTCCTACTTGACCACATCTGGACCAACACCATATCCCTTTAAAATCAGGCATAATTACAGATAATACCACAGACCACTACCCTACTTTCCTCATAACAACTCTTGGTAAACTACCCAAGAACACTACTAAAGTCACCTTCAGACTTCACAATGAGGCAGCCATTAATAACTTCACAACAGCAGTAGCAAACATTGATTGGCACACTGAGCTAGAAATCTATACAGATATTGACGAATGTATTAATAATTTTCTAAAAAAGACCCAATACCTCTATAACAAGCACTGCCCTAAAAAAACTACAGATGACAGCTAAGAGACTGAACAGTCCCTGGCTAACACCCAGCATTCTCAAATCCATAAATACAAAACACCAATATGAAAAACAGTACAGAATGGGTCACATAACCAGAGACCAAACAAAACGTTACTCGTCAATCCTAACCAGCCTGATAAGAAGGGCAAAAAAATTGTATTATGAGAACAGATTATCCAACTTACGAGGTGATATAAAAAGACCTGGAAAAACCTATCAGAAATTCTGGGAATAAAAAAGATTCACAAAATAGCGAAATAAAATTAGCAAAATCAGATGAACCCCAACTCCCACCAACAGAAACAGCAAACAGACTCAATGATTTCTTTCTCCACTATAGGACAAAACCTTGCCAATAAAATCCCAAGCTCAGATACCCCACCAAATGACTACCTCACCGGCAACTACCCGAACACACTGTTCCTAGCTCCAACTAACCCATACGAAGTCTCCCTTATTATCAACGCACTAAAAAACAAGGCAGGAGATTTAAATACCTTACCACCCTTTATATACAAAAAAGTATCACAAGTGCTATCACCAATCATTGCAACACTCTTTAACAAATCCATTGAATCCTCCACCTTCCCTACAGTACTCAAAATAGCAAGGGTCACCCGATCCACAAAGGAGGAGACCAAACAGAGTTGAATAACTATAGGCCAATATCCAACTTACACCCTCTCTCAAAAATCTTCGAAAAATTAATTCATAAACGAATCTACTCCTACCTTATCTCCCAAAACATACTCAACCCCTGCCAATTTGGATTCAGGCCTAATAAAAATACTAATGATGCTATTATACACATGCTTGAACATATATACACTGCAATAGAGAAAAAAGAAGTCCCACTGGGGATCTTCATTGACTTACGTAAAGCTTTTGATACAGTTGACCATGACTTGCTCCACGTAAAATTGTCACACTATGGTATAAGAGGGCACTCCCTCAACTACCTCAAGTCATACCTCAGCAACAGAAGCCTATATGTGTACACAAATGGGGCAAACTCTTCTGCGCAACCAATTACAGTTGGTGTCCCACAGGGAAGTGTCCTTGGCCCTCTTCTCTTTCTCCTATACATAAATGACCTTCCAAATGCTTCGCTATTCCTCAAACCCACACTATTTGCAGATGACACTACATACGTCTTCTCTCACCCGAGCCCAGTCACACTAGCCAATACTGTAAATACCGAATTACAGAAAATATCTACCTGGATGAGGACTAACAAACTTACACTAAACATTGATAAAACCTACTTCATTCAGTTTGGTAACAGAGCTACAGATGTCCCTCTTAACATAATGATAAACGGATCACCTATCACAAAGCTAACAGAGGGAAAATTCTTAGGAATCCACCTTGATAATAGACTCAAATTTCATACACATATACAACAAATTTCTAAGAAAATTTCCAAGACTGTAGGCATACCTGGAGAGTTTACCTGGAGAGAGTTTCGGGGGTCAACGCCCCCGCGGCCCGGTCTGTGACCAGGCCTCCTATCGAAGATACGGTACTATGTTCCACAGTCAGCCCTCCTGGCCCTATATCACTCTCTTATTTACCCCTATCTCACCTATGGAATTTGTGCATGGGGCGCAACAACAATTAACCATCTCAGACCACTAATTACCCAACAAAAGGCTGCAGTTAGAATAACAAATTCTCACTACAGGCAGCACACTCCACCAATATTCAATACACTAAACCTACTCACCATACAAAACATCCATACTTATTACTGCACCTATTACATACATAGAACACTTAACTCTGATATTAACCCTCCCCTCAAACATCTCCTTGCCAACCTCAAGAGAACACATGACCATAGCACAAGGCACAGATCACTCTTTGATGTTCCTCGTGTCCATCTCACACTATGCAAAAACTCAATGCACATAAAAGGCCCTAAAATCTGGAATTCATTACCTGTAAATATAAAAGAAACACTACCTGTTTATAAATTCAAGTCTCTTCTCAAAGATCACTTACCCACCCAAAACCAAATAAATACTGAATAACAACCTTATAAATTGTATATCTTAAATGTTTCTCACAATTATATCACATAAATGTTAAACCTAAAACCCAATCTAACTTTATTATTTTTTAAATACACTACCTAACAGAATACTCCATACGACTGAATGTACAACAATGCATGCAACCGTATGACCTGTCTTTGTAATACTCATTTGTGCTTTATAGTTATCTGTTTACAATAATGTATTATCACTGATTTCATCATTGCTTAGTTAATTTTAAGCCAGCCCGTAATGCTATGCATAGTATAAGTGGCTTTGGCATGCTGCTCTTATCTGTATTTTTTTGTACCTCTGTATGTATGCTCAAATTGTTAATAAATAAATAAATAAATAAATAAATAGCCAGGCTTGAGTCCTGGAAATGGGAAGTATAATACCTGCACTCTAAAGGAGGGGTTTGGGATATTGGCAGTTTGGAGGGATATGTTGTGTATCTTTATATGTATATGCTTCTAAACTGTTGTGTTCTGAGTACCTCTGCAAAAACAGTGATTATGTGTGAGTGAGGCAAGTGTTGAATGATGAATGGGGATTTTCTTTTTTGGGTCACCCTGCCTCGGTGGGAGACGGCCGACTTGTTAAAAAAAAAAAAATAGTAGTGTGTGTACTGTATGTGCATTTTTAGATCTAACTCTACTGGTTGCTAAATACATGATAACATAAACATGTTATCAGGCTTTTAAATTTATTTGAAAGTGCAAAAAAGGGCTATGTTTCACTTTACACCAGTAGCCTGGAACCTAACCTGCTGTATAAGCAAGGCCCTCCTGTACATATGTTAGTGCTGTATGACTCTTAAGGATTTAATTCCATAACTACAGTAATAAGTCTGCAAGATTCAAATCCAGTAGCAGTAGTAGTAGTTTAAATATTTATGGAAACTTGCTGAATGTTGGAATTGCTATCAGTACAGTAAGTAAAATAGGTGCCAATTTTGCAAATGTTAACATGAATAGGTGAACATTTGGAAATCTGCTAAAACATGGAAATAGATGGGAAAATGAAAAAATGGTTGGTGGTGCACTCATCTCACATACTGAGTGTCTGTGGTTCGATCCCTGGCATGGGTGAAAACATTAGGCATGTTTCCTTTTATCTCCTGCCCCTGTACACTTAGCTGTAAATAGGTACATGGGTGTAGTCGTCTGTTGTGAGTTGCATCGCAGGTGGTGGTAGTATACCAGGACTTTCAAATGAAATGAGTTGAGGTAGTTTAACATTAGCCTGTAAAATGTGAAAAACAACAGTAAATACTTTTCATATGTCTATGTAAATTGAAATGTTAGGAAAGGAAGTTCTTTATTATAGTTGTTTGGTGCTTTACACCTTTTTAGCCACAAGTGAGTAAATGCAGAAAATTTTCTGAGCAAACAACATTTCTAACTTTTTTTCTTATGAATATGGCTAAGATTAAAATTGGAAAAAAAAAAATTCATAAAACTTAATTTTTTCTTTCAGACTGAGGAGAAAAATGAGCAATGTGTGGCTTTTCAAATCAGGTGAAAAGAGTGATATGCATTACACCAACACACTTACTCAATCTGGATTCTCACCAGTGCATATTCCTGTCCTTTGCTTCCAGTTCTGTAATCAAGGCCCTTTGAAGACATCACTACAGAACCCCCAAGATTACAGTGGAATTATCTTCACAAGCCAAAGAGCAGTAGAAGCAGTTGCTGAGGTATATTTAAATTTGGCTGTTAGATGCCATGCTTCATGGGATGAGAAAAAAATATTTGTTGTTGGTGAAGCTACTGGAAAAGCTGTTCAAAACTTATTAAAGCTCACATGCATAGGACAAGAGTCAGGAAATGCACAACAGCTCATTCCAATCATAATTAGGGAGACAAAAGCATTTGATAAACCTCTCTTGTACCCTTGTGGCAATTTAGGGAAGGATGAGCTACCCAGGCTACTTGTTAATTATGATAGAGATTTCAAGGCACTTACCATCTATGAAACATCACAGCATGCACAACTGAAGTATACCATACAGAAGCTCATCAATGCTGGTCAGAAGCCTACTTATATGGTATTTTTCAGTCCATCTGGTGTAAATTTTGCCTTGCCTATCCTTCAATCTTTGAATGTAGATGTGACAGGCATAAAAATAATTGCAATAGGCCCAACAACCAATACTGCCTTGGTGCAACAAAATATTCCAGTGTCAGGAGTGTGTCCTACCCCAACTCCTGAAGGCCTAATACATATTTTGAAAAGTCCACTTTGAGCAGTACACTTGATTCAAGATTTGTTAATTGTAATATACATTTTGATGGGGGAGGGGAAAATGCTAACCCATAGGGGTCATTCAATTTTTAGGGCAAGGCAAGGCAAGGTTTGATCCCGTGACAAGAAATGTTATGTCAGATTCTTAAGATTAATAGCCTGTCACCAGCATCAAGGAACTTTTCTCAAGAGGTAGTAATTAATATAAAAAGAGCTAAACCCATAAGGGTCATACAGCACCTTGAGAGGTAGTGAACTTGTATAAATGTGCATGATTCACAAGGTAACTGAGTTCATGACTGTCAATTACCATTTTTACATTAAAAAAAAAATTCATCTTATTACTCGAGTTACTAAAATATAAAATTTGTCCTACAAACTGTTGTGTGTCAAGATGCAACGATAGCTCATCAGCAAAAGTTTAGAAAATTTTATTCGACAGTAAGAAAAGGCTTCTGGCACGTCATTTTTTTTTCATATTGTGCACTGATAAAATTGTCATACACAGCTTGGGGACTGGGAGGTAATCAGACTAAGGAATATCTTAATCAAGATTATATTATATTCGGGGGAAGTGCCAAGTCCATAAAAGTTTACAGCAGCTGGGAAAATGGAAGGAATTTAGGTTTATCCCAAGGAATGGGAGCACATGTCCAATTCCTTAGATCATGAGCCCTTCACTGGCATCAAGGAACCTCATTCGAGTGGTCTCGGATTAAGAGCCCTTCAACAGCATATAGATAAATTGTTTGTTAGGTGTTAAAATAGTTTGTCGTGAAGCATTAACCCTTTGAGGGTCCGTCCCGTAGATCTACGGCTTTACGTTCAGGGTCCAAACCGTAGATCTACGTCATGAGCTCAGCTCACTCTGATAAACTGTGAGTGGTACATTTGGGCCTAGATATGAGAGAATACATCTATGTGGTATGTGTGCACCACATAAAACAGATCCTGCAGCACACTGTGTATAATGAGAGAAAAAACTGAAATCATGATTTTTCGATTAAAACAACGACTTTGCAGTGTTTTTTCGTATGTTTTTTATAGTTGTATTTGCGATTTCTTGGTCTCATTTGATAGAATGGAAGACATATTACAGAAATAAAGATGATTTGATTTGGTTTTAGCCGGAAATGGCTTGAAAACTGAGCTCAAAGTAGCGAAATGTTATTTTTGCGATTCAGAGTAAACAAACGACCTCATGTTATACACGCCAGCTGGAGGGTCTAATATGCATTCACAAATTGGTGGGATATTTTAAATTATTACAGTATTGCAATTAACAGTAAATCTTCCATTTTTTGTGTGAAAAAATTCATTGTGAATTTATGGAATTTATTTGTAAAGCCTCAAACGTAACTAAGAACAGGAAGTTAGTTAGTTCAGAATACCTAATGTTTATTCTGGACCTATTTGAAATTGGAATATTTTGACTTTGTGTAAATTGGCCAATTAACAAATTCTGATCATTTAATTTGTAGTTGAAACAGTTGACTTGGCGTATTTCTTGGCCAATCGATAGAATAGAAGTAATTCTAGTGTAAATAGCTAAGAATTTGGTTTGACTGGAATAATGTAATTGGCTAAAATGGGAGTCAAGTCGCAAATCGCCGCTTCGTAAATATCGGCTGACACATCAAATTCGCAGAGATAATTTCGTCATTTTCATCAAATTAGTATTTTTGTTTTATTACCTTCACAAAAAGATTCTCTACCATTTCACAAGAAAAAAATAACTTTTTTTTTTTTTTTTAAATTCTTGGACACTGGGGCACCACTTCAGATTTGGGCCTTGGACCCTGAAGGGGTTAAACTCGGTGGTAATCAGGTTTAACCGTTTCGGTATCAGTCCTGTAGTACATGATTATTATCGATATAATTATTATTATTATAATAATCAAGGGGGAAGCGCTAAACCCGGAGGATTATACAGCGCCTGGGGGGGGGGGGATGTGGAAGGCATTCAGGCTTAATTCGGGGAACTGGAGCACAGATCCAATTCCCTAAATCAAGAGCCCCTCACCAACATCAAGGAACCTTCCTTGAGGGGATTATTATCAGAGATGCTAAACCACAAGGGCCAGTACTACACCATGAGCTCAATTCAGTGCGTCAAGTGTGCACCATGTAAAAAAAATATCCTGCAGCACATAGTGCACGAGGAAAGAAATAATTTTTGGTTGAAAACAGAGAATTTGCAGTGTATTTGTGTATGAGTTTTTATTATATTCTCAGTTTCGTGGTCTCATTTGATAAATAGAAGATATATTACAGAAATAGAGATGCTCTTAGTTTCAGGACAAAGTAGCTTGAAATTGAGCTCCAAGTTGCCAATATTCCAGAGTACACACCCCTCAAGGGAGGTTCCTTGATGCTGGTGAGGGGCTCTTGATTTAGGGAATTGGATCTGTGTTCCAGTTCCCCGAATTAAGCCTGAATGCCTTCCACATCCCCCCCCCCACCAGGCGCTGTATAATCCTCTGGGTTTAGCGCTTCCTCCTTGATTATAATAATCATCTTGATCTAGGGAATTGGATCTGTGCTCCAGTTCCCTGAATTGAGCCTGAATACCTTCCATCCCCCCCACATGCGCTGTATAACCCTACGGGTTTATCACTTCCCTGTGATAATAATCCAGAGTACACAAATGTCTTAACCCTTTGACTGTCGCGGCCGTATATATATGTCTTACGAGGTACCGTGTTTGACATATATATACTCAAATTCTAGCGGCTTCGAATCAAGCAGGAGAAAGCTGGTAGGCCCACATGTGAGAGAATGGGTCTGTGTGGTCAGTGTGCATCATATAAAAAAGATCCTGGAGCACGCAGTGCATAATGAGAAAAAAAACTTTTTTTTAATTAAAATGCAGACTTTGTGGTCTATTTTTGTATAGTATTTATGGTTGTATTCTCGTTTTCTTGGTCTCGTTTGATAGAATGGAAAACATATTATAGAAATAGAGGTGATTTTGATTGATTTTACTATAAAAAGAACCTAGAAATTGAGCTCAAAGTATGGGAAACGTTTGATTTTTGCCAATGTTCAAAAGTAAACAAATGATGTCATTGTCCAATAAATGTCCAACTAGCCATTCTAATATGCAGTCATGAATGGGTTGATGTTATTTATACAATTATTACAGTATTGCAGTAGTCTGCATAATAGTAAGTCTTCTATTTTTTGTTTGAATAAAAATTCAAAATAGAAAGCAAGAGTAATATCAGAGGAGCCTGGAGACATGACTGATGATACAAAGAATGTTATTTTAGAGCCAGGAATGTCTGCATCGTTCATTCTGGACCTTATTTTGAAATTCATATTTTTTAAATTTTCGTGAAATTGGCCAAATTGCAAATTTGACCACATTATTGGGTAGTTGAAATCGGTATTATTATTATAATCAACAGGAAGCGCTAAACCCGTAGGATTATACAGCGCCTGGGAGGGATGTGGAAGGCATTCAGGCTTAATTCGGGGAACTGGAGCACAGATCCAATTCCCTAAATCAAGAGCCCCTCACCAACATCAAGGAACCTTCCCTGAGGGGATTGAAATCGGTAAATGGGCAGTTTCTTGTACTCGATCGATAGAAAAAATGGAGTTCTAAAGAAATAGCTATGAGTTTGGTCGACGGGAACAACGGAATTAGCCGAAAATAGGGCTCAAAGTGGGCAAAACCGCCGATTTGTAAATATCGCCGAGATCGCCAACTTCGCGAGAGCATAATTCCGTCAGTTTTCCATCAATTTTTTTTTTTTTTTTTTTTGGTGTCATTACAATCGGGAAAAGATTGTCTATAATTTCATAAGAAAAAATAATTTTTTTTTTTAAATTTTGCGACACCAGGAGACGCCTCAGGATTGGGGGTTGCGACAGTCAAGGGGTTAATATTCATTTAGGAATGCACTGACATTTTGTAGTTACAATGTAGTAGTCTTCACTATTGTACGTATAACAGACTGGTTGCTATAAAAATATCCAAGCAGCAATTCTGTGACGTTACGAATGTGTACTTGCAATAAAATACACCACTTAAATTATGAAAATGGTAAATTGTAAAATTACCCCTCAAGGGAAGAGGTATCACATTCATAAAAATTGCTAAACCCATATGGACCATTCAGCATACTTTGTTATATGGGGACTGGATATATTATTATAATCAAGGGGGAAGCGCTAAACCCAGAGGATTATACAGCGCCTGGCGGGGGGGATGTGGAAGGCATTCATCAGGCTTAATTCGGGGAACCGGAGCACAGGGGACTGTATAGACATTGGTTGTGTTCACACACTGGGTATTTAGTGTGACTTTGGTATCAGGCATCTTACCTTGGCAATAAATTATTATAATAAAAAAAAAGCACTAAACCACAAGGGCTATACAGCACTGCCCTTGGCAATAAAGTTTTATAGAACAATAAGCAGGAATAAGTCCTGTGGTGGGTCATTTGGACTGTTTCCTGACAGGGAATTTGGAATATTGGCATTATGACCAAAGTGATGCCTGTGCCTAGGAGGCACAAGCTCTAGTGTGCAGGGGCTAGGGATGGAAATGTCTTGGACGGCATGCATTTTGTGAATGTGCATAGGGAAGTATTCAAAATGTATGCTTGTGATTAAAGACGTACAAGTCGCTGAGAAAAAAAGAAGAGCTAAACCTACAACTGTAAACAAGGTATTTTAAAGCTTTGACATTTTATTCCATTTTTTGTTTTATTACATGGTGCCCTCTCAAGGGATGCTTCATGTTGGTAAGGTCTCTTGATTCAAGGAATTTGATCTGCCTTCCCCTTCCTTGGATCACAAACCTGAAGGCCTATTATCCCAGGTGCTATATGACCACTATGGGTTTAGCATCCTCTATCAAAGGAATGGCAGCACATGATATGATCTATTATGTGATGAATATACACAAAGCCACCCAACACATTCCTAATAGGAACATGGAATTTATGCATGATGTATAACTAAAGTTAATAATCGAAGTCTCTCACCCAGATTTTGAGAAGTACGAGTCTTCCCTTATGTCGACTTTTTAGTACAGTTTACCAGTTCTAGCACCATTGTGGGCTGCATCCTAGGGGATGGATTATTATAGCAGCTAGGATCAGCTTCAAAATGAGCTACCATATACAAATTTTCTAAAATATTAGAATGGTTAATTAAATGAAAACCTCTCTCTCAAACTTATTTATTCAAATTTTTGCATTCGTAAATATGGTACAGGGTTTAAAGAAAAATTATTAGCCTTACAGTACCGAATGACTTATTCAAATTATAAATGAACATATATCAACAGGGATTGTGAAAAAATATACACTAGGTTTGTCCACACTTACTGAAAGTAGATCACGTATATGTCAAGAATAACTTTAGTGAGTAAATTTCAGACACAAAGCTCACCTATCTTTGAGGCAATAACAAAGATACATTACTACATCAGCTAAACTTGTGAACTTCTGCAGCAGGTTCATTTGTAAAGCTTGTGTTTTTGTTTTTCTGTACACTACAAAATACTACACCGCTTGGTGGAATGTACACACTCGCACAGTAACATTTGCACTAAAGGAACACAGTATCACAGTCACACGTCCTTCAAGAACGACTAAATTTGCACTCACACCCTCAGTCACTGAGTCATGTTACTGGAGGGGAGGGGATGGCATGACAGATCCAGGAGAAAATGGTATAGCTTCACCACAAGACTCCTGTGGTTTCTGACATGAGGAAAATGTGCTAACTTGGCGAAGAGAAAAGCACTGGATGCACGCCTTCCGCTTCATATTCAGTCCAAATCACACACTGGGAACCCTATTACTCATGTCTTCATTCAGAATTTTTCCATTTTTTGTTAAAGCAATAGGATACCCCATACTGCTTTTGAATACAAACAATACTGGACTACACTTAGCTTGCACCACATGCTTACAGAGTGCCATATCACACAGGGCCTCTTATCACAGTCAAACATTCACCAGTCACAGGACTGCAGTAAATTGATTCCTTCTGTGGTCATCATGTATGGCATTTATTTAAATCAGTTCCTTCTTAAACAGTGTTTCATACTACAACATTCCATTCAACTCTGCTTTAATTTAATACACAGCTAATATTTAATATGCAATCAACAATATGCTGAAAACAAATGTTATGCTGTCAAACACTGACTTCAAGAGAGATCTAGATTTAAAACCAGTGCTGGCTTCACATTGCCTTTTACCATTGTACCACTTTAACCATTTAATGGGGAATTTGGCACTAAACCTAAAACCCCTTAAGTTAATGGAAGAAAAGCTTAACCCAAATGAATTATTATTCATCCATACAAATGTCTAAGTCAAAAACACTGCTGACAAGGGTTACAGTAAGGATCTTCCAAAAACTTTCAGACTTCTTGCCTCATCACACTGCACATTTAGGGCTCTTTGACATACAAATTGTAACAATCAGCAAACAAGAATAACTGCAGGCTGGTGAGGCCAACTTAAATTTTGAGAACAGCCTCATATCACAAACTAAAAATGGCTGATACTGTTACAAACATTGTAGTTCAAATCACTATGGTCAGGCACAGCAGCACACAGTTTTATACATCATTCATGAGAAGCTAACGGGGAATATTTACCTTTTCATTTTGAAATTTACCACCTGGAGTTAACAGGTAACCCATTTAAAAGTTCATTATTGCTAACTCTGAGAGCTATTTGGGGTTACCATCAATTATGGCCTAATGAATTTGACGTCTCAATACCAACTGCCTCAAAATGCCATCAACAGAACCACTACAGCCGTATCCCATTCTAGTGCCCTAAACACACAAGTGCTGTCACCAAAGAATTGAAGAGATTAACTAAAGAGGTACATTAATGGGAGACAACTGCACATCTCAAGCTGATGTTTACAAGTATTAATATTTTACAAAGTTATTTTACAAGTTAGGAACTTACCAGGTTCCTCCATACATTTACTATATACCGTACTTTATTCTTGGAAAGCACGAGAAAAAGAAGTGTCTTGTAAACATCTAAATTGGAATGCAGCAAGAGCTACCCTGCCTATAAAATAGATTTATCTTACTGACAGTGGAAGGGTTAGTAAAAAAAAAATTTTTGTACCCTTGACTAGAAACCAGAGAACACCTTATAATTCTGCCATTTCTTCATAGATGGATTGTTACCAGAAGGGTACATGATTCACGGCTACAGCACCATTCATTCCCACATAAAGGCACTTGAAAGGACTGGCTTTCTAAAACCATAGTTAAAAAACAGGACTTACTTTGGAAATGCTAAGTTCTTTATAGATCAATTGAGGCAGATCTTTTCCTGGGAGGTGGAATGATTCACTGTAACTAATTATCTCTGATAAGTCGCCTAGAAAAGATATTCCCGTCATATATGAAAATTCTTCATGTATTTCCACACTCTTCCGATGCCATCCGGTTGTCATCGCACATTTGGCCATAACTGCCGCACTTGCGATTGTCCACGTTTGTCTGTCCACTCACCACACAACCCATGCGCTGAACGGTTACCACTCACCACAGGCGGGCAACGCTCTTCCTCACTCCATGCAGACACACCGCATCTGACTCACCACAGACTAAACTCCGCACTCATCTGAAAAGCCAAGTTAGGGGCTACTACCAGTTAGATGACACTTGTGGACGTATACCAGCCACTCGCTACACTACTTTCTTCACTTTTACTACTTTGTCATAACTGCTTCATCAGGTACACAAAAGCAGCACGAGATTCCTGACTGCCAAGAGCACACATTAACACACTGAAGTAAGAGATAAGCATTTCTCACACACAGTTAAGAGTAAGAAAGGCTCTCGTATCACCAAGAAATACCATACAATCAAACAGCTCATTCATTAATTTATCACATACTTGTGTGGTTTCAATGAAAACTTATCCATTATGAAATTTTGTTAACATCCGAACTGAAGTCATTGGAAAAAAAAAAATTTAATAAATTTAAATTTTATGGGTCTGTGATATAACCGGCTACTTAAATTTATAAAGCCTAGCAAATATTAATTAATATGCAGGTGGCTCCCAACTTACAAACAAGTTACATTTGTGGCCTTCAAAGGCAAATTCTTTATAAAGAAAACAATAGAAAAGATGACTTTCACATGCTAGTACTGCAGATTAGCTGTTTAAAAAATGTAATCATTTCCTAAGTGCTCATCTGCAAGTGTCAATGTTTGTAGTTTGGGGGATAGCCTGCATTTATAAATATGGCTTGCACAAACGTGTGAGCATGTTAGATCAATGATTGGAGACCAGTAGTATTTGGGATTTCATATTTCTATCGAGTGTGATCTAGGTTATATCGCTGAAAGGTTTAGGGTAAACCAGTTAACCAGACTAACACTAAAAGTGGAAAATACCATACGATTTCAGCGCACTGAAAGACAGGTAATGTTGCAGTTTGGAGGATCATTTGAACAGTATGCATGTCTGGAAAGACAAGTAACGGTGAATGCATTTCTTCTTCAGGTCACTCAACCTTGGTGGTAAACTGCCGAAGTGTTAAAAAAAAAAATCTTAATTTTACCCATATGAATTAATGAAATGCAACTCTTCTACCTAAAGCAACTGGCATGACCCAATGAATGAGAAATAATTACTGGTGTTGACCACTGGCAGAATAAGCAGTGGGTAACTGAACAGGACAAGGGGTCTACATGTCCCGTCATTTCTTGTAGTCTTTCATCCCACTCCCTTGATAACTAAGTTACAAATTCAAGAGAACTCACCACTATTATAATCACAGCTAAGTCCTAAACCCTCACTATCTTATGCCACACCTATTCTTACTTCTGTTACTAAGAGCAGCCTCAAGTCAGAGCATTCTCTAAATGAACACATGGCCTTAATAGTGTTCACATGGCTCAGAAAATTATTATAATAATAAAGAAGCGCTATGCCACAAGGGCTATACAGCGCTGCAGGGCAGGGAAAGAAGTGAGGGTATTGGGTGGCAAAAGGGAGCAGATTAGTAGGTTACGGAGAACAGCGGGACAGTGGATAGTGCGGGGGTAGAGGGTAGCAAGAGATAGAGGTACAAAGGGCTGAGGGGAATGCTAAAGGTATCATCATCAGAGTGTGGAGTAAATCAGTTGTCAAAAAGTCAATGAGAGTGCCTGGATTGAAGGAGGGTCTATCAGGAAGAAGGGAAGGTAAAGAGCAGCAGAGCGGAGACGACGACGGAGATAAATTCTGCGGGCTCATTGATAGAGTGGGCAGTAACAGAATGTAGCTAACCGATACTGGAACCTGACAATTATCAGAGAGGAACAGGGCGCCTCTCCATGAGATACCCACGAGTAAGACGAGTGTGGCCAATGCGAAGACGGGAGAGTAGTCTCCCAACCTCAACACTGACAAGACAGCGGCCAGTAACCTATACTCGGTTTAATAGAATGAAGTTTGTTATTGAGTAGATCAGACCAATGCTGTTGCCAACAGGTGTGAAGGTAACTATTACAGCAAAATAGTCCATGAATGGAACACCTCTATATGAAACTGGAAGGTCATGTACTGCTGATTGTACAGCAGTGTCTGCCTGTTCATTGCCCTGTACGTCAACATGACCAGGTACCCAACAAAAAAATATCTTTATGCTTGGTAAAGATACGGCGTAACCAAAGTTGGATACGGAGAACTAGTGGGTGAGGTGTATCAAATTTTCAAATAGCCTGTAAAACACTAAGGGAGTCTGAAACAAACAAATGATGACACAGGCATAGATGTAATACAGATAAATGCTGCAAGAATGGCATACAATTCAGCACTATAAATGCTAGCCGAGGATAGTAAATGCCCTCGCACGACACTGTCCGGAAACACTGCTGTGAATCCGACGCCATCAGAAGACTTTGAGCCATCTGTGTACACTGCGACGGCACGAGAATGAGAGCGGAAGTGGTCGAGGAAAAAAGAGCAGGAAGCTACTGTAGGCAGCTGGGCTTTTGTACATGGCAGTGAAAAACTACAGAAACAGCTGGATCTTCCCAAGGGGATAGGGAAAAGTGAGATGCTACATGAACATAGAAAGGTGGTAACTGAAGGGAAGACGAGCAAATGTAGGTGAAGAGAAAAGGGACCGAGTAAACAGGGGCGAGGAACAAATAAAGAATGTACTAACATCAGTGACTATTCTATATATGGAAGAATTGCGGGGATCATGAGAGCGAACATAATAGCGAAGGAAATGAGCATTACAGTGATTGGACAAGGATGGAATATTCGCTTCTGCATACACACACAACAGGTGAAGAGCTAAAAGTACCAAGGCATAAACGTAATCCCTGGTGATGGATGGGATTAAGGCTAGGGAGAGTAGCAGGAGAGGCTGCCAAATAGATCTGGTCACCATAATCAAGTTTCAATAAAATTAGGGCTGAATGCAGGGGAAGGAGAGTTCTACGATCAGCTCCCCATGAAAGATGAAAGAGGGTTTTAAGAAGGTTCAGCCGACTGTGACAAGTTGCCTTGAGAGAGGCAATCTGAGGTTTCCAGGATAACCTACGGTCAAACAGAAGGCCTAGAAACCCGGCCATATCACGTTCTGGGATACATGAGCCACAGAAGTACAATGGATGATCTGAGATGACAGAACATTAGTGAAACTAATTTGGAGAGTTTTAGTACCAGAAAATTTAAACCCATGCGTGGTGGCCCACTTGGAAACACAGTTGACTGCATGCTGGAGAGAAACTGCAATGAGGTGACAGTCAGCGCCTGCACAAGCTACAGCGAAGTCATCAACATAGTGTGATGACCAAATATTGGATGAGAGAGGCCAAATCATTTATAGCAAGGAGAAAGTGTTGTGCTCAGAACACATCCCTGGGGAACACCTTCAGCTTGGACGAAGTCCAGGGAGAGTACATTAATCTGAACACACAAATGTGTCAGACAAGAAGTTCTTAAGGTTGGTAGATTGCCTCGGAGGCCTAAAGACTGGGCTTGGGCCAAAATATTATACATACCTCTAAGCTGTGTCATATGCCTTCTCAAGGTCAAAAGATATGGCAATAACCAAGTGGTTATTCGCAAAGCCATTATGAACATACGTATCCAAGCGTAGTAAGGCGTTATGGTAGAATGGCCCTTACAAAAGCCATACTGACTAGTGGAGAGTTGTGTCTCTAAATACCACATTAAACATCAATTTACCAGACATTCCATCACCTTGCAAACTGCACTGGTATGAGCAATGGGATGATAGTGGGATGCATCATCTCCCATAGTACCTGGTCTGCAGAAAGGGAGAACAATGGCAGATTTCCACAGCTGGGGAAGAACTCCTTGTGACCAAATAAGACTAAAGAGTCTGAAGAGGACTGCAAGGGTTGACTGATGTAAATGTTGTAACATCCGTATATGAATGCCGTCAGGCCCAGCTGCTGATGATTGGTAAGCTAAGAGTGTTGCCTCCAGTCCCAGAAGTGTAAAAGGAACATTATTAGATTCTTCTTTGAGAGAAGAAAAGTCTAAGAGCATTAACTCTCTTGCAGGCTTTGAGGAAAGAAATGAGAGGCATAGATGGAGCCCCTAAGAAATACAGACCAGACGATTACCAATTTCAATGGCAACGTCAAGAGGTTTCTCCTAATTTCCACTCTGAATTTTCTGCATAATATTTACACCACACATTGCCCTTAACCCTTTCGGGGTTTTGGCCGTACTAGTACGGCTTACGCGCAGGGATTTTTGACGTACTAGTATGCGTAAATTCTAGCGCCGTCAAATCTAGTGAGAGAAAGCTGGTAGGCCTACATATGAAAGAATGGGTCTATGTGGTCTGTGCACAGAAAAAAAAAAAAACTGACCGTGTTTTGGGATTAAAACAGCGACTTTGCACTGTATTTTCGTATGGTAATTCTTGTATTCTAGTTTTCCTGGTCTTATTTTATAGACTGGAAGACATATTACAGAAATTGAGATGATTTTGACTGATTTTACAATGGAAAGTACCTTGAAATTGAGCTCAAAGTAGCAGAAATGTTCGATTTTTACCAAAGATCATAAGTAAACAAATCATGCCAATCGTCCAATACACGTCAACTGGCGAGTCAAATATTATTTTACAAGTGCGCTGATATTATTTATACCATTTCTACACTAATGCATAACAGTAAATCTTCTATTTTTTTTTTGAGAATAAAAATTCAAAGTGGAAAGCAAAAGAAATATAAGAGGGGCCTGGGGACATGACTAATGAACAGGAAATTTTATTTTAGTGCCAGGAATGTCTTTCTTGTTTATTCTGGACTATTCGGAAATTGGCATCTTTTGAAATTTGTGTGAAATTGGCAAAATTGCTAAATTCTGACCACTGTACAGTGGACCCCCGCATAGCGACTTTAATCCGTGCAAGAGGGCTGATTGTTATGCGAAATGTTCGGTATGCGAATGAATTTTCCCCATAAGAAATAATGGAAATCAAATTAATCCGTGCAAGACACCCAAAAGTATGAAAAAAAATTTTTACCACATGAAATATACATTTTCCTACACACAAAGAGAAGGATACATGCACAATAGTAGAGTAGTACATGCACAATATATATTGTGCATGTACTACTCTACTAAATGAAGAATAAATGACACTTACCTT